AATAAAAACTCAGGAGTTAAAGGATTTTCAATACATTACCTAATTCCATAAAGTCTAGTTTAAAAGTATATCCATCACATATGTAAATTTGTTTTAAAACGTTTAAAAACTGATAGGTACGCTATAGCAGTAACTAGATATAAGAGTCAATTGCGAATTCTACATCTCAATCATAAAAATCCGATAAAACGTTAAGTGGAAGTAAAACAATAATCGTAAATGGTATTATGTAAGGGAGTCACTGAATCATCATAAATCAATAAAAATGGGCAATTTTATTCGAGCATTAAACGAGAGCGAAGCAAGTTGGCAATTTTCTTGGTAGGTATTTATTATCAGATGCGCCTCTCTCGCGACTTTCTTCGAAGCTTTAAGATACTTTGTGGTATTTGTGGAAACGATTTTCCCGTAAGACGCTTTTAATATTAATAGCTTAATATTTTCTCTTTTACTGTTATAATGCATTCGTTTTAAGATTTTTATTATTTTAAAAATGGTATACTATCTATCAAGATGTACAAAGTTACAGCAGAATTAATCATCAAATATCTTATATGCTGATATTTATATGGTCATTTGTCGCTAGTTTAGCGTATTTTAATGGCAGCTTACTTTTTTACCTCCTTTTACTATAAAAAGCTTATAAGTTAAAACAGCTAAAGAGTTATCAACAAAGAAGGGCTCAGTTTAAATGTAAATTTGTCGGCGTATGTCACGCACACAAAAACCCGGGCCTTTGTTCAAAGGAGATTTTGATACAAAACTGCGGAACTGAAACGAATATGCATCGTATTCAAATTTAGTTGAACATATTCTTCCTTGACCCGTCGAAATTTTTCGCTTTATTTTACTTCAATTTTGTATCGCTCTGTCGGAATAAAAGTTGAAACAGTTGCCATTAAATTGAAACTGTAAATCATTAAAAATTCAATTGAAAATGAATACTGCTTAATATGTATTATTAGTGAAATAGTTATTCACACTTATTATCTAGTTAGATTTTGTTTTGAAAATACATCGATTTTTATTGAGAAAAAAGATTATTCTAGAAAAATATTTTCATACATTCAAATATCCTACGTAAAATAAACGCATACAAAATATTAATCCAAGCAAGGGTGGCAATTTCGTAGTAACCCAAGGAAAGGAGAAAATTTAAAGATACAAAGTCGTTTTCTCGCTGACGCCTACACATCCTTGTTTATTTTTCATTACCAGCGAAGCCTTCAAGCGTAAAAGGTGTATGTAATTTGTTGCGGAAATTCAACGGGAATCCAGGTGTTCTCAACTCTGAATAGATTTCTGTTTACTTTGAGTGCGACGAAAACTAAGTAAGGTCTTGTTTACTATGTGACTTACTGAGAAAGATATACCTGAAAGTTAGTGTTTCATTAAGACTTGTACGACGAATTGACACTTCTGAAGCTTTAATGAGAGGTAAATTCAATTGGTAAGTATAGAGTGAAGTCTGATTATTAAAATAAATGTTTAGGAAAGTAATCGGGGCTCTAAGGATGATGTTAGCAAATTATTTTTTGCTGTTTTTAGAAGACGTTTTATGTGTTATCAGCTTTTTTCTTTAAATTTGTTTTATATGAGAAAAATGTAATTGGGAATTTAGAAAGTAAAATGGTAAATGTTGTGGCCAGTGTGTTCACAAGGCTAACGGCTGACGATTGGCCAAATGTCAGCTACTTACTGCATGCTACTGTACGTGTTTTAATCGACTGACAAAGAGGGTAATTTTTAACGTGTATGTAAGTTTGCTTTTATGATGTGTATGTAACGACTTAATGCTTACAGGACTGAAGCGTTTTCGACTAATAAGGAGTTATTCAATTCATCTTCTTTTCAGGAGTGTTATAGGGTATATTACTTAAACATAAAACACTTACAGTAGACGTGAGAATTGAAATTATAATAAAAATGGTGATAAACCTATTTCGAATCTCACTCTCCATAAGTTATGTGTTTTTCGATTTTACTGTTTATTTTTCGATGTTATCGAGTATATTCCATTACATCTAGTCAGTCGGTTTTTTTTAAATCAAGGTTAGCTTTGTAATTTAATTTCGACCCCTATGTATCAATGAAGAAAAAGTATATGTTTCGAATGATTTTTATGAATAAAAACTAGTGAATAGCTAACGTAATTTACTTTACTTGTAAATTCTTCAAAACTCACCGTCACTGCTGCGGTATAGATGTTTGTGAGCTGCTAAAACTTTTAAGTGCGAAACAAGCTCTTTGTTGAGTTACAAAAATATAAGATGAGAGAAAATTAGCCATTTCCATACTTTGCTACCCGCCCATAAACTTTTCGAGTACAAAGCAATGAGCAATTTACCACTTCCACGAATGTTTATGTCCTTCCTCCACTGGTAAAGTAAAGTGTATTCTATCACTTCTGTTTAAGATACAAATTCTATTAAATAGATGATTAATTTACGAATCTTCGCAATGTTATTAGACACAACATTGAAGCAAGTTGAGATAACTTACAATCGAAAAGATTTTGTTTTATGTCGACGAATTACGAAGCGTCGCTATTCGCGTTTCAGTTAAGAACATAAAACATTTATTCACGTCTTTATACTAAAGTTTACGAGCTCGATACTTGGTAATATCTAGAAAATTCGATGTTTCTGTAAGTTAAAAACCCTTTGATTTATAGTCGTTATAAATCCACGGCGTATTATACGTATACCAGAGTGACATAAGAGGGTAAGTTGGACTTAACAATTTTTAAAACAACCTCGTATCATTAGGCAATTTCACATCAATATTGCTAAGTACATTTTCTAAACGGCATTTAACATTCCCCATTTCAATATCAATATGCAAACATCGTTGACTTACTGTTCAAACATATCCGCAGTAAGTAACGACGTTAGAAATTTGATTAAAGCGAAATTGTCCCGTGTCCCTCGTCCCCGGAGTCTATAGTGACAGAACAATTTTCTGGATGACATGAAACAATTCGTTTCGCACAAATAACTGGCATCTGTTAAGCCTTGAATAAAATACATAAATGTTTTATATAAAAACATTAAGTCAATTTAATATTATTAGTTACATAACGTCGATTTTTTTATTACTGTTTTCCTTTACCAGCTTTCTCCAGCGACTACGCCCTCGTGTTACTAAAATGTAGCCTATGGGTTCCAGACTACGCTCTATATCTGTTTAAAATTTAATTAAGATCCGTTAGGTCGTTTAGGCTACAATCACCAATCAAACTTTCGCATTTATAATATTAATAAGATTTAGACTTGGAAAAATATGTTTTCTTGATAATTTCGGTAGGTATTCCATTTTTGTTTAACCCTTATAAAAGGCCGTGGTTCATGATAGCAAAATATGGAGGTTAGGTTAGAGCCTAGACCGTTTTGCAACCGACAGGAAAGGAATAATGCAACTCAACAAGATTGCGTTAAACAGTTGAGTCGCTCTATGATTATTGATTGCACAAAAAGGCCGATAGACATATCATTTAAATATTTTTGCATATGTTTCATTGTTAAGATTCCTATTTAATTATTTCGAATAAAACATTCCCCATATAGTAACAATACTAGTCTGTTAATTTCGACTGAAACAAACTAATTCGAACAACACTTATCCCATAAACTAATATAATCTGGGTTATTGAATATTAATGCGACGTTTGGAATAATATTGTAAGATTAGCTAAACCAAATGACACGTACAAACATAATACTATGCTTAGTGTTTAGTTTAGCCTAATTAACATACCTCAAGTCTAGATCTAGGTAACAATAGTTTGCATAGAGCTGACTTACATGATTCTGCTTACATTGAACACAATGTTAAATAAAGGAACAAGATAATGCTTTCGTCTTAATACATAAGGCCTAAATCAATTAATTATCGATACTATCTATCTATACTATTATAATAAAGGGTAAACACACACTTCTTTGTTGCCTAAGATGTCAGCAATTACAGCATATTTTTGAATAATCCTTTTTTTAATAAAAAGCCCTACACTTACGTCACGCTTTAGGCTATATATTATCGCACCATTAAACTGAGGGGGTAAATATTTTGGATAAAAACCCTAATGTGGGAAAGAGACCATAAGTTGCTGCCAACATCAAGGATGCAAGATTGCCAAGCTTTGTAATGTCATGTCACTTTGACATTTGTTATTGATAATTTGACAAATGTAAACAATGAAATAAAATTTTCATAATTCTATGCGGATGAAGTCGCGCGGGAACAGCTAGTGTTTTCATGAAATTCATACATTATTTGGTTTCTCTTTAACACATGTTCTTGTAAGAAAGTCGCGAGGAGGGTACGCATAGGAAGGGAATTATCTTCTTTCCTAGTATACGCTCCTTTGTCTATTAAATATAGACAAACAAATATTAATTCGACGAGCAACGATCACTTCGCTGATTTGGCGACTTTACCGTTTGCTCCTTTAACACCTTATAGGCTTCCTAGAGTTACTTCGATTTGATAATAAAAGGAAAGATGTCAGACGTTTTAATGAAAATAAAACATAAACAATGAACTATTTTTGTTTTATCTGCAACAAAGTAGTGTTTAAAAATAATTTATAAATCGTTTGTTTTCCATTTCCGTAACCACAGGTTTATTTTTGCGGAACGGTAAAATCTGTTCCTCGTTTAATATTTTAATAACGCGGAACGTCGGATCTCCGCTGTGGCGAATTAAAATTTCATCAATGCAGTATCGCAACGGCGCGGGCGATGGGACAGGTGCGGCGATAAATTGTGTTTTGATAGCAGTCACAAACATTGAACTGTATCGAATCAGTTCCGTGCAGTTTGCCAACTTTCGTCACTCATTGTGGAACGTTGAGGCTAGTCTTAATGAATATTCAATTTAGGTTGGACAAAAGTTTTTAACAAAATTGGATTTCATTTATCTACATAATTGTGTTAGCTTTTTAACTATTTTGATGTATTCTGTATTTTTGAAGGTTATTTAGACTAAGCTATAAATTAATACCATTTATCTGTATTTAAAATAACAATATAAACTTTGTAAAAGCGACCCAACACATTATTTAATATATGTTATGGTTTTAATATGTCGGAATTCTACTTATTATGTTAATAATCGGACAGTAGTCAGATGTCAAAATAAGGGTGTTGCATTGGCTCGACGACACGACGGCCATATTGGTAATGGCGAGCGTGGATACATGGAAAAACAGTGTTACTGGTAAGGTTATTCTGTGCAAATTGGAAGAAAACATAAGAGGTAAATAAGACTATATTTTATTAAAGCTTAACATGGCTGTGACGCCCATCCTTGTATGTGTGATTTAAAATCATCTAAAGCGAATTGAAGATAAATGTTGCAATCTGTTTTGATTAATATTTAAAGTGAAAGTTAAAGTTGTTTTTACGTTTTATTTTCAATACATTTTCAGATAATATTTCAATATTTAGATTGCCAATTGATTTCAATATTACTACAACTACAAATACAAAAACTGGATAGCAATACAGTTACGCTGAACAAAATTATATTTACATATCTGAAATGTTTTTTTTTTCTAGAATACATAAAAAAAACATATATCAATCCTTTTTCCGTTCAATGTAAAAGGTTTAAATGGATTAGTTTCGTCAACAAAAAACAATGTTGATAGTAAACCCACATAGAAAGGTTTTTCATTGAATTCCGATCTATTTCCCCGATACAGCTGGCGTCCGATGTTTGCCAATATTTGGCCGAGCTAACAACGGCTGCAGTTCCATTCGGAACGACCCAGTACAGATGAATACGGGTAACGACCTATTTTGTGTTCTTTATGCATTTCTTACAATATTTTCACTATTTTACGTTATTGTTTTGATTTGAACTAAGAAAAGATATATTTTTATATATTCCCTTAATAGGTTGACATATCTTATATAAAATTAATCGTGTTCTAACAAGAAAATTGTCTAAATAGTAAGTGTATTGTAGGGGATGATGTTACTATAATTTACATATTAACAAATGAGAACGTATTAGTCACGTTTGTTAGAATCGATACTCGACAACTTGCGCTGTAACACACCAAACTTTCTGACAGCTATTAACTGAGTCATTGGAACTATCTGTACTAGTTACTGTTTCCTTCCTTAATATTTAATGATTGAACGATTTGAGTCATAATTTTTACCGTATACAAGGCATAGTATTCACAAAGGTTTTTAGTTTAAACATATTTACAATTAAATTTATTAATACACCTAGGTGAGATACGGATCCCAACATACGAGAATACGGTACGGAAGTTATGTTTGGGAACGTTACGAAATCTGAAAAGCCGTAAATCTAAAAGCCGCTTACAAAATTTAATTTTTGGAACACACTTTTTGTTCTAAGTAGAACTACGGTTTTAAGTTATATGCGCTTAAACCTCTATTTCATTTGGAGTTCACACGATAAAATCTTTAATTATTTATTTAATAAATGCAAGAAATTTAAAAAAAAATTGACTTAAATTAAATTACTTGCAACAAAATGTATTGTACCAGATATATAGTAATATCTGTTTTAAAATGTTCACATTTCTTACCTTTTAAAAGCAGCACGTAGTTCTTCTTGTCATCTCCTCCTTTAGGATACTCCCAATCGATGTCGAGACCGTCGAAGTTCCTGTCGCGGAGGTACGGTATAGCCGAGTATATGAAGGTTTGACGCGCGTACCTAGTCGCTGACATTTCTTTGAACTTCTGCGTACCAAATGACCAGCCACCTGTACCAGAAATACATCTGTTAAAATTACTAATACATTGCAATTAAATGGTACAATTTGTACAGTGCGACTGGAGGCAAAAGGAACATCAAGGTGATCGACGACAATGGCGGTCTCAAACAGAAGAATTACAATTGCGTCACCTTTGAAATAACAGCTATATTTCTATCATACTGGACTAAGGTATAAAATCAATCATCGTGTATTCTCTAAAAAAAATCAAGTAATTTTATCATAATTACTCGGTATTTAGGTTTATTCGTTATTCAGCGAAATGAATTTGTCCTTACATTATCCATTGTGTGAAAATCGATTTATTTCGATTATCCCACAACCGATAAAGTTTCTCTAATCCGAACAATACAATGTTTTCACATCGAGTGCGGGTCGTGGATAAAAAAAGCCGCCCCCATGTCGATGTCGTTATTTAACTCGCCTTTATTGTAACGCCGAGTTCTTTTGCTTTTATGAAAATGGGTGAGGTTTTTGTCGGGGCTCTGTGAAAATAGGTGAAAATGCCTTCTACTACGCTTTGTGCCGTGGGAAAGCTCTAAAGGTGTATTCGCATACGTGTATAGTGATGTGCATCGCTATCGATATCGATCATTTAATGTATGACGTAAGTACAAATAAACAGTGTTGAGTACGCGGAATAGTGCGACATTCATGAATGGATTTTTACTCATATTTTTAAAGGCTTAAAATTACATGGAAATAAGTTTTATGTCACATAACCACTGAGTACAATAAAAACCACAACAGATCATTATTAAGGAAGCGATAAAAGGTTATTTCCTTTACAAAACCGAGAACTATATAGGAAGTGTTGTAAATTTAATATTAGAAAGTGGAGAGGCGGTTCACACCGTGGGGTCGTAACTTTATAGCCAATTATTATCATATCTAAGATTCATTGTCGTCGCACTGAACGTAACTGCGGTTAGATTCGACGCTTACTTTAATTTATACTTTACGAACCAATTCTTTAGTACTGCAAAGTATATTTATTTTAATAAGTAGCAAAACAATTGATTGTCATGGTTTAAAAAAAATAGTAATTTACATTAAGAAAAAAAACTTTATATTGTAGTACTACGTAGTTAATGATTAAAGTTGTCATTTCAGAATTCATAATCGATGTCGATATGTTATCGACAACGGATTGGAACAACACTAGTGGGGTATGTACTAGAAGTTTGTCCGCAAAGAGCGCTACGCCTATATCTATTATCGGCTTAAGCAACTTCAAGGAAATGCTAGGAAAAGGCACTCTTTGTTATAATTGTTTCCTTTCGACGCTGGAATTCTAATTAAGGGATTTTCTTTTATTGTTTCCTCTTACTGTCTACGTTTAAGTTATATTTATGTGTACATTTTGTTTTTATTTGTAAACATTAACGTCAAGCTTCTCTCGTTATTTTCTTGAGTTTGCTTACAACTGTTTATATTTTAAATTCTGACATATTAATGAGTTAATACATATTTAAGATACTAAAGTCTCTGAAATTATTGGATAGTTTGTTTTTTTTCTTTAAAATATCAAACCGATCATAGCTGGTATATTGTAATTAACAATATCTAAATACAAAATACTTTTTACTTGCAAAAGTAAATGTTTGCCTATTGATGGCTGCACTACAATGAGGCTTGAAGTCGGGGCGCTGCGGTCGCGGGTACAATGAAAAATAGGTTGAGACCAATTAGTGCTTAACAAATTACGACTAAATTTAACGCCGGACTCTGGAGTCGCTAATTTAAAAATTTACTTAATGTATAAAATAATATTTACATGACATTGTTTGGTATTGCAACTTCTTATTTTATGTGCATTTTAATAAAGCAATTGTAACGGTTAGTAGAAAATATTGTAATACAAAGATAAAATTCTAATAATTAAGATTATGGAAAACTTATTACAGGTGTATGTTGTCATAGAATTGTTTACTAAAACATATAAAAATACATAAAACATACGTAGTTATATTAAGTTATTAGCGTGTTAGATGAAATCCGGAAATATAAAGCTATACTTTCAGTAATTACGTCCGAAACTAGTTTACAAAACTATTTCCCAGTAATCAAACCTTATAAGTGCGTGAAATAGGCGTGGAGTTACGTAACCAGTGAGAGTTTATTTATCAGAACACGCCAGTATTTGTACAGTACGAAAAAACACTTCCACATTTTTGTGCTTGCAACGAAATGTGTATTTACTATTTGTACTTTTATAAAGAGGCTTTAAGTTTTATACATTTTTACATATGCGTCGTCAGGTGAGGAAAACCCCTTTTTTGGTATAGGGGGGAATCTTTAAAAGATACTACACAGGTATAAATTACTTCAAAATATCAAGACTCAGAATCTCTTTAAACCTACATCACTCAAAAACGGTTTAGCATTCTCTTTGGAGTACAAAAATAGATTTTACTAGCAACCTGGCTGTCGAAGTCCTTTAATTATACTGGATTATTTTATTACAATATTTAAAACATCTACAATAATTTAATATATGAAAAAAACAGCTTTTTAAAACTGTCATTAAATTTGATTGTAGATAAACCTATACTAACATAATAAAGCGTAAACACACACTACTTTGTGGCGTAGGATATTAGCAATCACAGCATATTTTTGAATAATTCCTACTTGAACAAAAAGTCCTACACTTACGACACGCTTTAGGCTATATATTTTCACGCCATTAAACTTAGGGGATAAATAAATTGAAAAAACCTTCACATGGGAAAAGGACAATAAACTACAAGCTGCCAGCATTAAGGACGCCTGGTTATTATGGTAATGGTAATTTTGGCATTTGCAATTGAGAATTTGACAAATGTAAACAATAAAATAAAGTTTTTATAAGTGGATGAAGCCGCACCTTAACAGCTAAATAATACATACCAATAGCGAGTAATGTCTTCAATTTAGGATTAGCTTTCTTCAATGCGTTAATTCTATCGTAAAGTCCTGTCTTTCCATCTTTCGTCTCATCGTTGGACTCAAAGGAGCTGAGTTTTCCCTTCTTAAGCCATCCGAAGGCGAAGATAACGTGTGTACAGAGATCGGGGTGGATATCTTCTGGTACGTATTTTCCGATTTTTGTACGATACTGAGACCAATTTGTGTAGTAACACACGATCTGCAACATAAAATACAATTATACTAAACAGTAAGGGTTATATTGAAACGACATTTATGTAAATTGTAATAGTTTTATATGAGGTTTACGTTTTAACTCCAAATTTCATTAAAATTTTGACGCCTGACGGATTGTAAGCGGCGTTCAAAAGGTGGTTGAGATTCGTTTCAGAATTTAGTCGTGATTTATAAAAAAGCGCATTCAATAAGAAATCTTGTAATAGAGAGGAAAGTTTTTTTTTTTCATAGAAATGAACGTGATGTGCCTTTTGTTTTGCTCTAATCTAAAATCTAGTTTTTCTGTCTCTATAATAAATTGCGTTGAAGACCTTAAGTCCAAATGTTAAAATGTAATAAAAAATATCGCCTTTTATAAACCGCTTACAATCTTACGTCAAAATTTGAATGTAATTTGGAGCTTAAGCTATCCTTATCCGTTTAGATTATACTTAAAAATAAGTAGACATTAATATTATATCTGATAAGAATAAATGTAATTAGTGTCGTATAAGGTAATGATATGCAATGTTATTGACAAATGTAATTTAATTGACACTAACAATTCGACTTCCTTGCCACATAACTGGCATATTTCAACCTTAGAGGTAAGTACAGAGAAATAAGAGTTCCTAAAAGAAGCAAATGAAACCGAAGGTCAACAACATATTGCATTCGAAGCGTATATCCGCGTTGTATTGAAATAGTAATTGCACTTTCGACTGTATTGTGTGTTCGACTTATAGACCTATCACTTTGTGTTATGATTTAAATTTGCATGATTCTAAAATTACAAAAACGGCAGTTAAATTCTAAAACAAACCTTTTTATAAAACACTAGTTAATGCACGCGACTTCTTCCCCGTGAAATTAAGAAAAAACACAGCCTATGTTCCTCACCGATAACGTTTTGATTGGTGAATTTTTGTAAGCCCAATACTTTTTGAGTTATATTAATACATGTAAAAATACAAAACTTCCAACTTATAATATTAGTACAGATTGTCAACAAAAAAACTTAGTTTAAATAAGAAGGTAATTTTGTCAGTTAAAAATAGGAAACTGTAAGGCGAATACTTACACATCCCTTAAATATATAGCTGCGTCTTAAATAAAGTCACTGTCAAATTGCGAATTCCATTAAAATTTTGACGCTTGTCAGAGTACGCGGTACTTACAAAACAAAGTGTTTAAAATTCGTTTCAATAACCGGCCGTAAGTAATAAAAGTGTGAGCACCGCTGGCTTAGTGGTTTAAGCACTTGACTAATCTACAGGTCTTGGGTTCGAATCCCGCTGTACCAATGTGATTTGCGATTTTTCGAATTTTATATGTACATTATTTACCCTAAGTTCTCACGGTGAAGGAAAACATCGTGATGTCTACATATCGGCGAAGAAATTCAAAAATATGTGTGAAGTCAACCAACCCGCACTTGGCCAACGTGGTTGACTGGCCTAGTCACCTTAACTTTAGGGTAGACTCCGAGCCCCTCAGTGGGGACATATAGTGAGCTGGTGATGATGATGATGAAGTAATAAAATGTGGACTAAGTACCTTGTATCCATCTTTGTTCTTATGTTCATCAGTACTGACGGAATTGTCTAGAGCTGCCGTTGACTTTCGACTCGCTAGTATCGGTCGACCACGTATCTTAGGCCTGTTGACACTTGCTGATATCATCTGATCTGTAGACCTTGATACGCTGGTTGATGATGTTGACACTTTGCTAGGTTTCCGAAGTCTTCTACGGACATCTGATGAATAATTGAAAATTAGCAAATTTAAGTTTAAATTGCTCCATTAACCTTAATTTAGACAATAAAGTTTTCATGAATTTGGACACACTGACAGTTTTAAAAGTATGGAAATGTGCATTTTGAAACATGAAAATTCTCGTAAGAAATTCAAAAATAAAATAACTATACATAAATGGGAGCATAATTAAAGTATGGTTAATACACTATGTGTAAAATACTTTTAATAAATATTGACGTAAACTTACTTGTAGAATCTGAGGTGGGTGTTATCACAGCTACAATCAGGAGGACAGTAACTGTCCATCTGACCAATCTCGGCGGCCACTGGAACAACACAAACCATTTTAGTTTATAATCATTGAAGTTTTAACCATCATTCAGCCCATGTGACTAAACTGTCGCACAACAGTGCGATTGTTTCGGAGCCAATCAAACTGTTTAGTTGCACAAATAAAAATCGAGATTAAACAATAGTTTAGTTTCAAAGAATGTACTCTTTTAGTACTGTCAATCTTCTTATCTACTTTTTTACTCATACCCTCACTCGCACAATCATACTCATTGAAGATTTATACAGAATATACATATGCAAATTAAGTATTTTCTATCTGAATCGTTGAAACTTTATCGATAAGTAAAATTTAAACTTTAAGTAAATACGTTTCGTATCTTGCACGTCGCGTTCAAAGGACGAAAGTGCCGTTCACAAGCCTGATGTATGCTCATGAATAATTTAGGAGCATCTGACGCCAGGCGACACGACAGTTAAAGTTGGCAGCCATGTTAATGAAACTTGTATACTATTACGTAGATATTAATTTTTAATTCCTTTAAATACCGTCAGCTCATAAAAGTTGTCTACTCTGAATTACCTGCGAATGTTGGTAAAATTATGTTGGCCAACTTAACTGTAGGGTCTTAACTAACAAAATTAAAATTGATCAATGAATCAAAATTTAAAAATCATAACCTAAAATACATCTAAAACATTTGTACAAATTAAAAGAAACCTTATCAGAATTGCAATAAAACACAAACTTAAATACACAAAAATAAAATCATCGAAATTCAAATAAAATAAAATCTGCACTTTTTACTAAAATATTGACTCACTAAAATGTATTATTATTCTTAATTCAAAATGGCGCGAATGCGCGGATGACGTCACACACGTGTGTATGCGTCGCCTGTACACCTTCCGCCCCCGCGTCCTTCTGGACCCCGCTGTGCCGGGCGCCGGGACACCGCCAAATATTATAACGCGGCAATGTGCTCTATGCACCTTATTTTATAGCGCCATTTTTAATAACCTCAAATTATCTCACATGTATCCAATGTTTCTTGATTGGATGGGACTATTTATTAAAAATGCTGCTTCTTACCAAATCCGAATGGTTCGAGTCATGGATAAATGTGAACTAGTTACCATCTTGCTTCATACATTCTTTATTTATTCTTATGCACAAGATCACACAAATACGATGTTTCTTCTTTCGTATCACATCTTGCAGTCATTTGTTTTGCGTTAACAATCTTTTTTTTATTACCTTTTTAATTCGTCTTATCTTGATGGATTGTCAGTGGCCAGCATTAACAAATAAAAAATAAACAATCGTTTCTACAAATTACGTTACTATTTTAAGTAATGTTATTTTGTGTATGTATTGTTTTTGTTTCGAAATATTTACAAACGCATAAATAATTAACACAACATCATAGTTGAATAATTTCACATGAAAAGTAAACATTCGTCCAATTAAATATTTCATTAAGCTTCAGTTTTATTTCCCAACTGCGGCTGGAACTATAAAAATTTCATGAATTTCAAATACGGTCCAACGGCGTCGAAAGCTGCATAACTGCACAAACCTCTCGTAAAACTTAGACTGAACTTTTTAAATTAACCAATTAATTTCTTAGCCTGGGTTTGTAACAATTAAAAAAACGTTCACTTCGATATCCAATATTTATAACAGCTTTATATCGCTTTAACGTGGAAAATGTGACGTTATAAAATATTTTACGAGGGAATATATGATGTGGAAGTCATTTCCGTGAGTTGAAAATTTATATCTTCATTGCGGCTGTCCTTTGCTATGCGGATATTTTGGGCGCTGGGGAGCGCTCGCTGGTCACTGCTATTTGTTTGATCTTTTACCTAGATATTTTATATAAATAACACAAATACAGCATCTTCCCGAAATCTGGAGATTTTCTTTTGATGTTACAGACATTCCAATTTTATTATATGTATAGACAATCTATACCTAAATCATGAATTCTAATAGAAACAATATTCAATGGCTATTAATACCGTAGGATTGCTAGTCTGACGGTCTTAATATCACGTTGTGGTAAATAAGGACAAAGCCGCTGGCGATTTTAATTTAAAATCACTACGCTCCCGCCACAATAGGCGGGTTGAGATAACAAAAAAAGTAATTAAAATAGCGAATGTAAGCACTCGCCTTCTTTTTGAGATTAAAAATATACGGTGGGCATTTTTAATAGGAATTTTTAGACAATTAGTCTCTGGGTGGCTGTTAAATCGCGTTTATCATATTTTTTTAAATAACCGCGCTCCGTTTCCCTTAGTGACAGCCAGTTGAGCCTCTTCTTGTTAACCAAGATCTTTGTTTTTTCTTTGCTTCTTAACTGTTGTCATTTTTTATTATTGTATTAATAAATGGTATTCATTATTATTTATCTACTAGCTGTTTCCGTGCGATTTCATCGGTATAAAATTATTTCATTGTTTACATATGTCAAAATGTCAATTGCAAATGTCAAAATGATATGACATGATGACAATCCATGGCAATCTTGCTTCCTTGATGTTGGCAGCAATTTATGGTATGTTTCTCACGTTAGGATTTTTATCCAATTTATTAACCAACTAATTTTAATAGCGTAACAATATATAGCCTAAAGCGTAAAGTGTAGGGCTTTTTATTGAAAAAAAATATTCAAAAATATGCTGTGATTGCTGACATCTTAGGCAACAAAGAAGTGTATGTTTACGCTTTATTATAATAGTAAAGATACGAGATTATAGAAATGTAGTAAATGATTAAGGGTAACCTTACTAATATTGTAAATGCGAAAGTTTAGTTCGATGGATAGATGTTTGTTAGAGTTTGTCGCCTAAACAGTTGGACGGATATTGATCAAAGGCATAGATGTAAAGCATAGTAAGAACATACTCTACTTAACACTATTTTTTTTTTAAATAACGCGGACGTATTTGTTAAAACATAACATAAAATGTTCTTTTGCAGACGATGAAAACGTAAACAAGATTTTTCTGTATAATTGTTTACATATTTTTTTTTAAACAACATCGACTTAGAACGCTACAAATTAAAAGTGTAAAAAAGATCGTCATTTACTTGATATTTATGAAAGGATATGAACTAGATTTTGATATTGTTTCCTCGTTCGCCGTCGCATTTCGATACAGAAGGTCGACTGGTTTTAATGAGAACTGTTGAATCGAGCCTTTCGGAACAACGATAAACATTTTTGTTTTTATATGAATAGAACAGTCATCTTAAATTATATTTATTTCTGATCATTAGTGAAAATGATATCTTTTATACGATAGCGTACAGAATAAAAACATCACACGGCCGACTATTGAAACGAATCATAAACAACTTGCTTCATAAGTGCCGCGTACAATTTAATAGACGTCAAAATTTTCATAGAATTGAAATTTTAAACGTGATTTTAATAAGACATTGTTTCATATTTAAATATCGTTTCAGAATTTTACTGTAAGAGTAAGTAAGCGTTATTTTAATTCACTAAACCTGTCCCTTAGTAGTGATTGGACTGTGAGACTGAAACGGGGTTTCCTGTAGAGCTCATCAGTTGGCCGAAACACACTTTGAAACGTACACAACCCACTTTAAATGTGTGTTTGCGCAGTAGCAGTTGTATGTAGAAACGCATATAACCTTAGTAATTATAACAAAACGAGTAATAACCTCGTGTTCTACCGTCCGGTTAAGCAGAACGTAAACGTTCGCGATAAAGTTAACGATATTGTATCACGCATGCGCCGGCCGCGCCGCCGCAAGGCCAAATGAAAGGAAAGGGAGCGGGCGCAAAAACTATACTACACAGAGTAAGTACAATGCAGAGATGTTAAATTAATTTTATTTTTGGTGAGTTATTTAAAGCTTTTCGAAAAACTATAATTACTAAAAACAGTGTGACATTTTAAAATATAAATAGGTATTGATAAAAATAATTTTATTTTAAAAATGCTTGTGGCATACAAGTCATGACACCAATGAATTCAATTAGATATTTTTTTCTTCCTTTTTATGAATCAATAAACTCAATAAATAAGAGCCTCTGCTGTTAACTTATCTATCACAGAAATCTTACCACTGGTATTATTTTTTTTTTCAATCAAGTAACAGAAACAGGACATACTGTCGACGATATGACGTCGAAGATTGATAAATAATTAAACTAGAGAATGTAAAAAGTGTTCTCGGAATAACCGAATGAGCACATGCAAATTCTATACATTTTTTTTATTTTAATTCGACATTAAAAAATTGAAACCCTCTGTTTCAAATTAGTCTATGATATTCACCATAAGGTCAGAAACTACCGCTTTGGTTCAGACCTTAAATAATCATTTCTATCAATGGATAAAGATATATTTAAAACTCATAAAATTACATGGAAAAATGTAAGAGATTCGTTTAACTAATGGCAGGTTTCCCAGCTACATTTATGCATTTGTTATTGTTATTGGTTCGATAGCTACATGAGATGCATTTTTGATTACTTAACTTGAGTTTACTCAGTTAAAACTTAGGTTAACCTAACACTAATGAGTCACAAGGCCTAAAGTAAAAATATCCGATTCTGAGTATGAAACTGTGAAAAAAAAATGTAATTACGTTAAGCATTCGTAGTGTATTGTGTATATACATAAAAGCTTACTGGCTTATTTACAATGTCATTACAAGTGGACCTTAAAGTTTGGGTAGTTGATATTCTGACCTCAATCACTGTCATTGAGAAACAACCACTATTAAACTTTAATGGTCAGACATTGTAAAAACACGAAACTAATTTCGTAAACTAATAATTTATTAAATAATTACTAAAAGTGCCATTTATTAAAGAAATACTTAATGCGGTCTTAGACGTACCATCGAATAATTTTGACTGCGATTATTACGTCAATTCCATAGTGCACCTACTTCATAATTTTTTCTAGTCTTCCTATGATTATCGACGTGCCTAAATGTTATGTGGTTTTCCATTCATTGCACGCCCGACAGTGTTTTGCCACCCTT